AATTTTATTAAATCTCTATTAGTGCATACTGAGATTGCTGCTGGTTTTTTTCTGATAAATATGGCCATTTGCTTCATTTATTAATCAAAATCTTCTGATGTAAACAACTCTGCTTGACACTTTCATTGGGATACATTGCTATAAATAAATATTCCCAGAACTTTTGATACACACTATCAAATTAACCCCAAGAAAGATGGTAACAATTTCATTCTCATCAGCAATGCATAAAGCTCCTATTTCCTGAAACATCTCCACAAATAAGTGACAGATATATATGTAAATACATAATATACAGAGTCACATATATAAATTTAGTATAATTGGTATCTAATTCTCATTCAAATTGGCATTGTTTAATTACGCCTAAACTTGAATAAATATTTTGAAAGTTTTGCATGTATTCTAGTAAAGGCTCTGAATGACCCATACAATTGCAAATCTGCACACATGCACAACACTTTCTTTTTGGAAACAGAACTCGAATTTTGTTTTGACCTGTTAGCCGACTGCTCTAAGTAATACATCTTGACTCAAGATAATTTTATTTATCTTCCCAAGATGCATTTATGAATAGGTACACGAAGCTACTTTCTGCCAATGAAACGTGAAAAGAAATCTACTGGGATTGAATTTCTGATAGTTATCACTGGTCTTAAGAAGGAATGGTAATTTCCCTTCTAAATTTGGGAAGAGATAGTGAAACTATTACAGTCTTTCTTGGGGATAACTTGACAGTATGTACCAAAAGGTCTAGAAATATTTATTTCCAGCAGCTTATCCCAAGATCTGAAGTTTAGAGTTGTTTCAGCAATTTTGAGACTTGAGAAGATGCAGGATTTCTTCTCAGTTACCTTGAAGAAAGAAAACAAGACCCTAAGACATTCCACTGTCCTTTAGAAATATATGGAAAAAACTACTCATAAGTATGCACTAAGTCTTTAAGATAAAAATAATATAAAACGTTAGGCTGATAAAGAAAAATGTCCAGTTATTTTCTGACCCAAATGGGGAGACAGTGGGGCTACCAAACTAGCCTCTACAGTTTTGTAAATGCTAATGCATTATAATGAGCTGCCTTCCTTATGTAAAATTTAATTGTTATTCCAAATGCACAACTCCAATAATAGAGTGTACAGAAACATTAACAAGCCTTTTATGATGAATTTGGGTCAAGGGCAACACAGTACTTAATAGGTTTGTGCACGAAATCCCTAGGGCAAGCTCCATATTTTATCCTAGCTGTTCTACAGCCCCTAACGTGATTTGGAGTTTTTATAATAGAGGCTGAAATACAAAAGAGCTGCCACTTACACCCAACAAAAGACCAAACATGCAACATATCCTTCCGATTTATTTCTATCATGAAGTTTAAGGTAAACTTGGGATAATCTCCTGAAGATATATTTCCTGGATTTACTACACATTGGCATTATTTTAGCATTATTACTTTTAGTACATGAGGAAAAACTAAACTTAATGTAAGAAGCTAAACTGCAATCTTTCTTTAGAGGGATCCCTTAAGTTTGTTCTCTTCTGTTGACTTTCACATGGTGCATGATGGGCAAAGCTACCTGATCCAAAGGACTTGCTCTGTCTGAGCAAGTAATACAACTTTCCATAATTTCTTCAATTCAGTTTGATGAATAATTCAGAGCCCCTGTTCTTCCACGGAAATTTCTTGGTTGTTTCGAGCATTCTCTACTTTCATCAGGGTGTATCACGGCTCCAGAGATTTCCAATTAATCACAGCATGGACAGAGAGGGAGTAATCTGGCCCTGGCCCAGGGGACACTCTAAGTCACCATGGAGATGAGCTACGCCTCTGTAGAAGCCAGGTCCTGCAGCAGCCTGGCCATCCTAGAAGGCTCGGGATCTCCCACAGAGACCTCTGCCGCCCTCTTGCTCTGTGTCTTGTGAGTTCATAGTGCAGCTCTGAAAACAGGACCTTTCCTTCAAACGCTGTTCACGTCTTTGCCTGCATTAGTTCCTCAATTCCGTGTCACTGGTGACAGCTTAGGGGAATTCTTCTCTAGTCCTCAAAAGAAGGTTTTTCCCTTCTCATTACCCTGTAATATTCTCCCACCTGCCAGCTCCTTCTATTCTGCACTAAAGCAGTAAACGTCAAACCTGACTGCACATTCAAAGCATTTGTAAGTCTGAGCAAATGTGACCTCAATGCTGCATCACAGCCCTAAACCCAAGGATATTAAAACCCCTAAGAATACATCCCAGGCCCTGATACCTTATTTTATTTTATATTGTATTTGATTTATAATGTCTCAATTATTTCTACCTTGAAGTGAGAACTGGCTATCTCCACCTGGATGGATTAAAAATTCTGGAACCCTACTTCTGACACAGTCACATATCCTTTCTGGGGAACAGAAGAGGAAGGAAAAGAAACTAATTATCTAAGTGAAAAGAAGAAAAATGGCAAAGACATCGAAACAAAGGCGAGCATCTCATGACTCCCATCAGACCTGCTAGGCAGGTTTTGGGATATTCAAAGGAACACGGCTTAATTTCACTTTTATTATCTGATTTACCAGCAAGTTTTTTCTGATAAAAAAAAAACAGTACTGTAATCTATGAAGCTTTGGATGTGACATTTTTACTATCATTTTTTTCTTTGAAAAGCAAAACAAAAAAGAAAAAAATGTAAAATTTCAAAAAATAGCAAATTAATACTAGTTAATATATTTCATATTGTAATACTAAAGGTACTTGCTCAGATTATGATATTTTAAAATAATTGATCAAATGAGATAACTGATCAAACAAACAATGAAAACACTGATCTTTTTGATGAACTTACACAGATTAATAGTTTAGTTGTCTATCTTGCATATATATACAAATATGTATTTATATATACATGTAAATAAATATATATACATATAATATTTCTCCTTCTATCTTGTCTCAGTTCCCCTATCCCAGTTGTTCCTTCATTTTGATTGCTTTCTTTCTTTTTCATTATCACAATATCTATTCAACATTTTGGATATTATTACTTTTTCAGCTATTTTTTTCACTAGGGAGACAATACAATATCTACATATGTGAGTCTGATTTATCTCACTTATGAGAATGGCCTCAAGTTGTAGCCATTCACCTGTAAGCCTCAAGTTTACTCTTCTTTATAGCCAAGTGATATTCCATTGTATAGAAATACCACATCTTTTTTACCCATTCCTCAGTTGGCAGGCATTTGAGTTGTTTCCAAGATTTAGCTAGTACAAACTGTGCTGCTATAAATAGATGCACATCATTGTGGTATGATGTTTTTAATTCTTTTCGGAAGATGCCCAGAAGGGGAATAGCTGGATTGAATAGAATTTCCAATCTTAGTTTTTTTGAGTAATCTCCACACTGATTTCCCCAGTGGTCGAACTAGTCTACACTTCCAGCTACAGCAGAGAAGGGATCCTTCTTCCCCACAGCCCCGCCAGCATCTGTTAGTGGTGGGCTCCTGGTGACAGCCATTTTTGAACTACAGTGAAATGGACTGTAGGCCCACGGCCTGTGTGTGATGCACAGTGATTCTGTTCAGCTTGGGGGTTGACGCATCTTGCCATCTTCACTCCCCTGACCCTGCTGCCTGCTTACACCTGCTTTCCTCATCGCCAGCATCACCTCTTCAGAGACTCAAAGCCAAGTCAATGTCCAGCAACTTGCCCCTAAGGTGAACCAATCTCCAAAACTAATCAAGATAGTCATCCAAAGCAAACACAAGGTGTGTGCTCAGAAGAAAAGGACAATCCACGAATAATTTAGGATCTCGCATTATCAAGTTAGAGAACATTCTATTTAGTTCCACATCTTATGCCTCTGCTCAGCGAGAAAACTTCAAGTATCGCACAATGGAAAATGTTCTCTACTTCATCACCTCTGGGCAGAAGCTGTGCTTCAGAAACCTCACCTAAACTTTCCAACAACTCACTCTTACTCCGAAGGCATTTAAACAGTTGCCTAACCTCTTTGCATTATGAGGTGCTTAATCCAAGCCGTTAAATTAATAGATTAGTGTATTTCACTCTTTAAGCCTTCTCTGTTTCAAATACATGTTTTTCCCAAGGTGTGCTTCATGCCAACATCAAGAAAATAAAAACCCCTTTAGTGAGGTAATAGAAATCACATGAGACATTTGTTATCTCACTTTTTCCCTTTATGTCTTGCCTCTACGGGAAATTTTTGGCACAAAAATGAGTGCTTACCCATTACCGTCAAGCGCCTGTCTTACTGTGCACACTTTCCTTGTAAATCACAGGGATCCTGCTTTCAAACTGCCTGCATCACTAATGATAACATCTTATCAAACAGCCAAAGCATGAGGAGTTTAACTGGAATACCGGAACATTAGAGCCCAAGAAATCAGCAGATTGACCACTCCAAAACCGAAAAGAATACAGGAAAGAACAAACCCCATAAAATGCTAATCAGTGACTTTTCCAGTTATAGACTTTATAAAAGAACAAGTGTAGCTAAGAAATCCCTTACAGCAGATAAAATGATCCAAGCTCCAATTAATTTCAAGGCCAAAAAATGTCCTCCATTGTCAAAGGCCAAACGTTTCCATCCCATACCTGACCAAAAAGCACTCTGGCTGCCTACTTCAATGTAATGCTATTTTTCTCAAAGTTAATTTCTCACGTAGTAAAAACATTTAATTATAATGGAAGAAAAAATAGCCTGAATCTATTTTTAAAACTCATATATCTAAGCTCCTCAGTGTTACCATAGGCAACTGGGACTTCAATTTCAAACCACACACTCATACATGTATGCATACACGTACACAGGCAGAAATACTGGGTGTGGAAATCAGTTATGCAGACGAACATTCTCATATTATTAGTTCTCTTTCAAATGTGGGGGTGAAATTATGGAAGAGAGTTATTTAAGTAAAAGTATTTTTGCATACTAGGTGCTAAATGTAGCAATACAGATACGGTGCAGAGGGAACAAATTAGAAAACATTGCTTTGTCATGCTCACCTGTGCAAGAGAAGTCATCTACACGAATGTAACCCAGGACACAGTCACAGCGGTATAAGCCTGGCAGGTTCACACATACAGTATTGGCATGACAGTAATGCATCTTAGCAGCACATTCATCAATATCTGGAAGAAAAAAAAAGAATATCTGTTTAGTCAAGAAATTAAAACAAAGTGGGATCATCTTACAACGAAATTACAAAAGGCGAATGCTTACTGAAGTCAAGAGAAAAAAGAGACGCAGTAAAACCAAAGCCCAAGCACAAGTTAAGTGGTGCATTAGATCCTATCCTGAGCAAAAAGTACTTCTAGGAAAATGCATGTGAGACGTAACAGTGAAGAGTCCAGGAAGGATGAAGACAAAATCAATTATTCATCTCTAACCAAGGAGGCAATTGTAGCTAAAGGTTCAAAATCAAGGAGTTCTGCCTCCCGTGAGCTGATACCAGTTAATATTTATTGAGCATCTACACTACATAGAAAGCTTTTATTAGAGAGACCAAAAGAATCTAGCCCCTCTCTGCTCATGTCGAGCCAAGACACACTCTAACCCACCTATTAGGAAATGATGCTGCAGCCATTTCTTCCTCTGTTGAGAACAGAGACAGCAGCTGTGTTCTAACGCAAGTCAGTGCTTTCATCCTTTGTCCTGGGGACCCAGCCCACGTGATAGAAAAACAGGCTGACTCCACAAAAACTGCTGTTCTCTTTGGCACAGAAGTCAGAGTACCATCTACTTTTTTCCATAAAAGTTTATGATAAGAACTTACAACTTTCAGTAGACAGAATATTTTTCTGGAAATTATGAGTTCAAAAATGGATTTAGGATCATTTTATTCTAATTGCTGATAAGGGATGATGACAGAGGCAGATTATAGCACAGAAACCCAAGATGGAAAATGTGAGCTCTGTTTGTGGCTTCACTATTTAACAGCCAATGACTTGCATTTACCCTCCGTACCCGCGATTCCCATCAGTTTGTTCTCAGGATCAGTTCTGAATCTAAAGTTCTGTGTCTTTGAAGACATCATCCAAATTGATAAAAATGCAATTGATAAAAATGAATGAACTACAAACATTTGTAAATTCTAGCAAAGAAGTTAAATACCTGACACAAAATCACCTACTGCACTCAGATATGCTGTATTTTGGGATTGAACTCATAGACCAATGTCTTATTCACTATTATTTACTTCAAAAACACTCCCTGACAATGCTAGTTTGTCAAATAGGGTTTCAGTGAAGATAATCACTAATGTTCTACCACCCTTAATACACAGAAACTAAGGATAAAAATGACTACATTGGATCACTAGAAAACTCATTTTTATATTTATTATTAAGAGAAAAATATATTGATTTGTTTCCTAATAAAACACGCTGATATAACAGCAGACCATTTTCAGTGTTAAAGACTTAGGTAGGGTTGTAAATAAAAACTACTTTTGTATCATTGAGATCTTAAAAAGAGACCCACGGATAGCAAGAGTCTTGTAACCATGATATGAGACACAACACTAGAAATTGATGACAGGACTCAGGTAATCAACAACTTCCTATGCTGGTCTCCATCTCACAGTTGAGTCCAGGGGACCCAACCCAGAGCCAGAATCCTGAGGGAAGCAAGGAATTACTGCAGTGATGTTGCTAGAACACACAAGCTAAAAGATGGAATCACAGAGTATTAAGATTAAGAAACATAGAAGGGCAGAAAGAGTGAAGTACTGAGAGTAACAGTTTGGATACCCAGGAGGAGCCAGGTGTTGGGAAAGTTTGGTCTGGATTACTGATGTCCATAAAATCTCACCCATTTTCAGAGAATACAAATGAACCTCACCACTCTTTCTTAATAAAAGCCTGACCATATGACCGAGCATGGAATCTGAGCGCAGGCACTCAAGTATCACTTCTAGGTAGAAGGTCCAAGCCAGTATCTGGCTTAGCACATTTTCCTATTCTTGTCTTCCACATCACAGAAGTGCAGAGTTGAATAGTCCTTCCTGCTGGGGCTCTAGGTGAGAAACTGGCCACCTGGCTGAACTGTTGAACCTGTTATATAACCTAGAAATGTATTCTTATGGAGTTAAGACATTGAGCCTCCTCTGACTACTACAAAGGTAACTGTGAAAGGCAACTCAAAGAAAAAGATCACAAAGATTGATCTGAAAAGGTAAATCAGAATTCACCAAGTAGAGAATGAAGATGGGTACCCAGGACACTTTGAAGACTAAATTTTTCTCTGTAGATTTACGAAAGGGGAGAATCACTTAATCATGACTCCCAAAGAGTATTAGTTAAGCTGCTACCAAGTCCTGAAGCAAAGTGATGAACAAAATGCCATCCTAGGTTTCAACTGCCTAACAAATGATTGAAACAAAACTATGACAATTCCAAGAAAGGATATGAGACCCTTTAACAAGGGGATTTGACCTCCCAGAGGGTCAGAGAAATATTCTCTGTGGAAATGATGCTCCATCTGTGATCTGAAATAGAAGTGAAACAGAGACAAGGGAGAGAAACAACACAGAAAACAGAGAACCTTCCAGAAGACTTGGTTACACGCAGGAACTGTGCTTGTTTGAGATGTAACTCAAAAGACAAGGTTAAGACACATCCTGCCAGGTCCTGGGGGTCACATGTAGAAGCCAGCACTTTCATCAGGGCAGGGACACAATCTGATTTCTGTTTGTAAAGTATCACTCCAGTTGCAGTGAGGACAATGGATTGAGCAGCACATGCTAAACCATAAATCACCTTGGTCTTTCCCTCACAGGAACACAGTCACGCAAATGTCTGCCTTGTACTGCTGAGGGGCCCAGACATTCTGCAAGATGAGAGCCTAGGCAGGACTTGCCTTGAAGGTAATTCAGTCTTCACCCACCAGCCACAACTTGCGAGCAGGCTGCTGACAGCAATGACTGTGTCCCTGTCAAGGATCCTTGTCTGCTCCTCCCAGAGGACCCTCCTGTGGTCTCTCTGCAACCACTGAGAGTTCCCAGCTCACCCTGGTTTGAAGAAGTTACTTAGTTGGATGCAAATCAAACAGGCCATCCCCTTGTTTCATGGCATTCTAAGGACTTGAATCAAGATGTTTTCAAAAAATAGACAAAGGGATACTGAGAAAACGTCAAGAAGAATTGCTCATATAGATTTAACCCAATCTTTGTCTTTTGCCAACCATCCCGGACCCTGTGGTCAAACATCCTTGCTGCTCGCATGGTTTGGCTGAGAGTACATTTTGTTTCCAGTTCACACCATTTGTAATTTTGGCAGAACTAAAATGAAGCTAAAAAGCTGAAAAATGAACTGGAAAATTAAACTACCATGATCTTATCTTTGCTGCTTATCCTTCATCAGGAAAGGACATATAAAAGACACAGCCCAGTATAAATGGTGGTTAACAAATGGGAGAATCATTCAGCTGAGTCTCTAGAAGATGAAAGAAATGTAAGAAACTGCAAACTTATACTTTCAGAATAGGGAAGAGGGTGGCAGAGTGACAGATTCACCAAAATAAAGATTGCTTCTTCGTATCAGAAGATGTAGCCCAGCAGATAGTTTCAACAGGATTCAGGAGTGCTTCAAAAAGGAATCTGATTACAAGAGTCAAGACAGAATTAGCATCTTCAGAGACATGGGCTGCCTGAAGAAAATGACCTCCAGAAGAGAAAACACTGATTTTTAAAGTGAGCTAAGACAACGCTGCTTTGTTCACAGAAGTAGAGAGACTCTGAGAGGTAATGGATAATTACAAAGTAGGGGAAAAAGACCTCAATTTCCTGCTGGAAGAATAAACCAGTGTCAGCGACAGAGATCAAGTGGCCACAAAGCCATGGGGACTGTAACCACAGACCTGAGCTAACTCCTGGGTGCTGAACAGGGGGCTGAGGTGCTGCATCTCCCAAGGTGACGGTCACCCAAACCAAAGGCAAGACAGGGAAAAGCCCAAGTCTGGAGCTCAGGGCAGATGCTGAATCCATTCAAGTTTAGTCTCAAGCTAAACATCTGAATCAGCCCTCCCTACAAAAAAAAAAAAAAAAAAAAAAAAAAAAAAAAAAGTTTCTAGGAAGAACCACAATGAGCTTGAAGTCTACATAATACAAACAGACTTCAAAAGCACCTCTTTAGCTACAGAGTTATTAAGATAAGCAAGCGGCTAACTAGCACGTACATTGTAGACAGAACAGAACAAGAAACAGTGCCTGGGGGCCGGGGATTTAGCTCAGCAGGCATAAGCGCCTGCCTGGCAAGTGTGAGGAGGTCGTGAGTTTGGTCCCTAGCACCAAAAAAAAAAAAAAAAAAAAAAAAAAGAAACAGTGCCTGGCAGCTGACATTCCAAGTGCCTGTGATTTTTAGGTGTCAGACACTGGGCTAGGGACTCTACAGAGAATATCTCATCATTCAACTTAGACTTGATTACTCTAGAAGATCGGTATCCCCATGCCAGGATGGATAAACTGAGTCACAATGATTCTTAGATCACTTAGAACCCAAGGCACAAAACCATTCAACACAAAATTTGGATTTGCATCCAGGAAGTCCACCTCCGAAGTTGGCAGTTTCTGCCGTGCGAAGTTTTGACATGCAGTAACACTGCTGAGCTATGGCGATGTTTACTGTGCCCCAAGGTGCCATGATAGCTAGGAAAACAAGCAGACTTCCAAACTACAAGCCTGTGTGCAGCATCCTCAGAATATTTATTCCAGAGTACCATCCTGGTTAAAGTGTTAGTGTGGACCCATCCACCACTGCTTCCTTGGCTCTATTAATCAAATTCCAATATTTTCACATATTGGAATCCATTCACCCCAGGCCCCTGAGCAGGCAGATATGGGCATTCTGCTTGCAGTGGGAATGCGTAGCCTGGCACGGCCCCTTTCACAGGAGCTTGGTGTCTCCTATAGAATAGGAAATCAGTAATAGAGAAGCCTAGGTTTTTATAATAGTGTTACATATTGCTGAATAAACATTTATAACCCTTATTGCTGTATGTATCAGCTGGAGTGTAATGGAGCTCCAGTTGTGATTTATTCTTATAAACTGCTTGTCACCTTAGAAATATCAGAGCTTATCATCTGGTGGTCTTTGGAAATAATAAAAACACATGATTTACATCCCCAGGATTG